TGAATGGTGCGCATCAGGGGGGATTTAGAAGTGGGTATACGCAATGCTGACTGAAAAATAAGTGGGTATACGCCGTATACCCACTTATACCCTGGACTACACTAGTGCTCTTAGGGTTCAAGCTCAAAGGCACCTTTATGCTAGTTGGTGATGAACATCCAAGTTTGGGGATTGAACCTCTAGGACCCTCTCTGAAGTGGCTCATGGTTCATGGCAAATGAATACAGTATCTGTATACAGTACACACTAGACTATGTAGCACACATGTCCTTGTGTACCTTTCATTACAAATGAGTGCATAATATTGATAACAATTGTACATGTTTGCTTAATTTAATTGATGAAAAAAATATATAAATATATTCATATAGATACACATATATGTCTATCCTCTGCTCAGGAGCAATGAAATGTTTTGTGATCAGTTAAACATCTGACTGCCACTAACTGTCCCATACATCCTTAACTTGAAACCCTCCAGATACTATTTTGTTTGCCCAGGACGAGTACTTCTACGTTCACTTGTCTGCCATATTCGAGTGGATGCTCAGTGTCAACCTGGAGCTGTTCGAGCTCAGCTACGCTGTGGAGTTTTGCTTCTTCTCATCCTTCATGCTTTCAAACCTGTTGAGCAAACGAGAGGAAGAAAAGCCTTTGATGATGACTTTGTCCTGATATAAGGCTGCCAGGGTCCAGCTGAAGCACACAAGCAATGAGGAGCGACTGAGTAAGAGGTCTGTAAAGACCGTAGCTGGATCGTGGCTGGGAGACCAATAATTTTTTTCTATCACTCTTGCAGGGATGGATTTATATCCATTTATGAACTATGACCACTTATTCTAATTCTTGATACTGTAAAATTTTCTTTACTGGGGATTTCCGTTCATTAGGTAAAACATTCCTTATTTATTGAAAGAACTAGCTTGCACAGCAAATGAACAAAACACAGCAGTCGTATTATACTTTTACACAAGCCATGTTGCTGCTTTGCCATTAGAACAATTAATCTGAGGTGTCCATACACCTGTTTATGTGTTAATGTTTGTGCAATCATTTTTATTACGTGTTAACATTATCAACAATTTAAATCAGAATTGCTCACCAGGTACATGAAGAAGGACCAAAAGTCATGAAAAGCTCACTGTTAGCTTAACATTAAGTTTATTTAATGGATCTAAGCATTTGTGTAGAAGTTTAGCACTTAAATAAAAATATGATCACTGTACACACTGAAAAGCCCTGTTATTGTGATTGATACACAAACTTTAAAGCTCTATCACCAGGGTGGAGGATGTCTAAATCCACCCATTCAGACAAGTCCCTGTGACATCACAAGATCCTGTTTAACGGGATTAAGGTCCGCTCAATGTATTTCACTGTATGTGTGCCTCAGAGGACAAACAAGTGAGGTTTTCTGAATCTAATTCACTTTTTTAAAGCAAGTTAAAGGCTCTGAATTTATTCATCTGTTTCTTGTGGGGTCCTATGAGTTCTTTATTTGTGGTCTTGTCCTTGTTTTTCCCCTCATTAGTTTCACATATCTCCATGCACCATTAGACAGCTGAAGTCAAACAGGAACTTTAAGGTTCCATTCCTGGCAGCTGCCACCCATAAAAAAAATACCTGGCCAACCCAGTTTGCTGTCAAATGCTCTCATATTTAACATATCAATTAGTTTAAAATAACATGTTAAAAAAATTAGATTAATCATTTGTTATGGCCAAATCTTAGACTATGTGATAGTTAGCTAAAGTTAAATAAAAAAAAGATGTTTTTAGATAGACCAATGAAATTAATGAATGCTGAATGAGAGATTATACTGAGTACACAGGATAGCCCAGATGTGGCATCATGACTTTAGCTCTCTATCAGGGTTTAGCAACATTTCAATGATCAGGGTCCTGAAGCAGATTAGTTCAGTTTTTCTGAACTTTAATTATTGCTCATTTAATGTTGTAATATTGTAAGAAACCTTACAATTTGAAACCAGGTTTTAAAGGGTCTTTAAAGCAGCTATTATTGACAATGTGAAAATAATGTGAAATGGGTTATTCCTAGTCATGAACCTACAGGGAATTATCACTCGAAGCTGCAGCTCCCCGTCTTTATCGACCTTTAAAGTGAGTTTCAGCTCATTGTTTAAACCATCTGGCCTTCAACTTTACAGTTTTGGTTAGCTCTCACTGCATCCTTTTTGGCTGCCAACAGGCAGCTATTTTCAGTGAAAAAGCTTTAAAACCCTCACTGTACACTACTGTACCCCCTGAGCACCAGATGGCTCACCGCTGGTTACAGACAGGGTGGTTAAAATAGTGGAGCTTTAAGCAGCTAAAGAGCCAGATATTTCCCTCAGGAGTTGGTAGAAACCAAAAGCAGAGCTAAAGTAAAGTGAATATTAGTCTTATATTTATCACCTTTTAAATTAAATTGGAAATAAAAACTATAAAACCACAAATTCTCTCAAAACAAGACGACATGGTTCTGGTTTTAATGCAAAGCACTTAACCTTTACTTGAAAGAAGGTAATATACATCCTGGAATTACAGATAATAAAGATACATTATGAGCAAAATCATTTCACAATGAATATCATCTTTCCTTTGCATCAACCAAGAGAGGAGTGTGACATTATCTACAGTTTTTGTTAGGAAGAAAACAGTGAAAAGCACACCTAATTCTGTCAGCATTTTACTGTATGGTACACTGTAAAAAATGTCATCTATATGCAGTAGTCCACATTGTAACCTTAATAACAAAAAAAGAGAAAAAAAAGAGAAGAAAAAAACAATTTGAAAAAACACAAGTTTCATGGTTGTCTTTCAACTAAGAAGTTCAACTGCAATGCATACATTATAAATAAATGTAAGGGGAAGAAAATAAGTTCAAAAAGTACTACAAGCAATATTCCACAATTCCAGCATGGCTGAAACAACAAGTGGCCTTGAATCCAAACCCTACAACTTTGGAGTGTGACCACGGCTTTTACACACCTTTATGATACTGTAGATTCTTCATGCTTAACACTTTTGGATAAATCAAGTTAAAATTGCCCTTAAAATTTGTTCTGTGAAAGTTGTCTACCATCTTTTCCTGTGAGGTGAGAAACACTTTTCTTGTAAAGGAGTGAGAACTCGGCATGAGTAAAACACAAGGCTGTATAGTTAAGTTTTGTTTTTTTTTTTTTTAAGCAACTCCAAGCCATTAAGTACTGAAAAAAAAAAGCTTGTTCTTAGCTAAGCTAGGGGAGGTCACTGGTATTAATGAAAGAACTCTTCAACTCTAAAAGCAAATCATGTGTGTTCTCTTGCTCACGTATAACATCTTGAGCCCAAATACTCTTCACCTTCCTGGCCTCCTCCATAGTTTTAACTATCGCCCCCCACTAGTTTCTCATGTTAGGGGAAGCTCCAAGTGTACACACTATGAACAAATCTTTAATAAAAGGAAAAAGACACTACAGTAGTTGACAACTCAAAAATTATTATTGTGATGATGCAGTTTGGTAATTGTTTAAATCTACAGCAAGTTGAAATGGTAGGGAATGGGGAGTTCAAACGGAGTACATGTTCTTGGTGGTGGAGCCGCTCTTGCTGGATGTGTCGTCATGTGACTGGTAGCCAATCATGGCTTTGCTGGGGATGCTCAGACGCTCTTTATAAAGTTGCCTGTGGAAAAAAGAAGTTGAATGGTGTGTGAAGATTAATGGTAATTTAGTGTCACCATCTAGTGGTCAGCTAGTTTACAATGATTCTTTCCATCACTTGAGTTATTTCCTATTGACAAGGTGACTTATGAACTTACCCTATCGTCATGATGGCGTCCCTGTTTTGGCAGTTGCTAGTCCAGATGGCTATTTTGTCACCTTTAGGTCTGACATTGACCACAGCTCCGCACACATCTTCACTTGCCTCATCAAACGACTCGCCGACTAAACACAAGAGCTGCAAAATACACAAAACGTGACACACTGTATGAGTCATATTGTCCTTTTTCTTGTAATTCACAACCGTTAATAGGAGACAGGTTCATCTATGAGATTTGCCCAGCTGTTCCACGCAAACAGGTCTTACCGTCTCCATCCAGTAGCGGTCAAGGTCATTGTGTCTCTGTTGTTTATTCAAAGTCATCAGCCATCGCCCCCCCAGTTTGTTCCTGTCGTCCTCCCACATCGGCTTGATCCCATCCTGCCACACAAAGTGGAAAAAAAGCTTTTAAATACTTCATCCAAATGATTGACAAAGGAAACAACTGTAAGTCCCCCTCCACTCAAAAATGTCACAAATAGTTTCGAAATCAATCCTGGTCCAGTATGCAACTTATACAAATGTGATGTAGAAACATGAAGCCACCAGTGCAGATACACTGAGACATCTTGTGTCCAGCAGGAACACTTTTAGAAATTAACAATATTTGCATTTTATTCTTAATGAGGTACAAGGAGTAAATACCTTTTTAATAATTTGTATGTTGAAATGATACTTTTTGTAGAAAAAAAAAAATAGATACATCATTGTTCCAAACAGAAAATTTGGAACAATTTTATTTTAAAATAGACCTTACCTTAAATAAACAATAATCGCAGCCAAAGCCAAGTTTGCTTGGTTGTTGTATGTGGTTGTATAATCTGTAAGAAACGCAGAATAGTGACTTCAGTGACAGTGTGAGCTTCATGTGGCATGGTTCAGATTAATGGTACAGTGAAGTATTTAACATCAACTTAACACTGATAAATTGACTCAGTTTCACACAAGCACAGCACACACAAATTTCATTTTCTTTAAAAGTCGTCCTCTTTATTGGGGCATGCAAATATTTCAAAAACTCTTCTCATTTTATATTTTAACCGGTATTTTCAACTTAAGTGTACTCATGTTACCCAGTGTCATATCTAAAGGACGCCAACTTATACTGCAGGCGAATGTACAATGAGTGGGGTGCAGACGAACAATGAAGCATAAACAAAGACTTGTTTCACACTCAAACTGCTCCCATGTTATTTTAATCTAGCTTTACACCACTAACAACCTGTGCCTCCATCAGCATTAGAAAACTATTTAATGCCAGGATCATTTATCTATATCTGCATAATAAGAACAGGTTTGGCTTCAAGAAATCCCTTCTTGGCTCTATGTGAGTTACAGAGTGAAATACAAAATCATTTATTTAAATGCCATTCTTCTGAAATGCTCCACATATACACTATTACTATATAGTGCCAAAAGCATAATTCCATTACAGGATTAGCAGAGGAAACTTACGCCCAGAAGTCTTCCACTGTGTCAAACTTGGAAATGAGACGCAGGTTCTCTGTCCAGCTTTTGCTCTTGTCGTTTTTGAAATACCACAGGGCCCATCTGAGAAAGGAAAAGACAAAAATTAAAACAGAATTAATCAGTATTCATAGGACTGTGGAAAAGTACGACACAGAATTACAATTACGTCTTTATTTTACAGAAACAGCAAAACAACTCGGGAACATTTCCTATAAATCTCAGAAAGAAGAAATGTCTAAAAAGGAATTCACTGTAAGTGCTATTGTATAAAAACCAAAATAACCTTGAGCCAGAGTCATAACAGCACAGATATGCACTCTATTTCACAACAGAGCACAACAGCTAGTGACAAAAGCGGGCATATCAATGCAAAGAACAGAGAACGCTGGCCATCATCAGCACTACAAATGCAGCCTTTGTTTATGACGAGAGCTGTTATTCTTTCATCTATTCCCAGGAGGGGTGGGACTAGCAGGGGAGCGAGGAGGGCAATGAGGGGACATCAGCCGAACTCGGCGCCCCCCCCACCCTCCACAACAGTAATCAACCATCAACCCCACCCATCTGTCATAAACAGATTAATACGCTGAACGTAAACCAAAACACAGGATGCAACTGTGGTCATGTCGTGTAAGATCACCGCTGACACATTATTACAACAGTAGGGGAGAGATGGGAAATCAAACAGGCGTGTCTCCTCTGGTGATGAACCCAGCCGAGGACACGTTTGTTTGTTTACATACCTACTCGTAGCATGTTAAGGAACTTGGCAGACAGTAGGTCTAGTCAATGATGGATTAATCAAAGGCCACATATGTCACTAATGTTAGACTAACATGACGTGGACCAAGGCAAAAAGTCCTATAAATCCTAATCCAGTTAACCCATTTCCTCAGGCGTGGGCGGTGGACTGTCTGTCCAAACACAGGTGTAGCTATATTGGCAAACTGCAGGCTCGTATTTTGAAATGCAGGAAACACAAATGGAGAGCAGCTTAAAGAGGCAGTGGCTCTGTTTGCAATGCTGGCTCAGCATCACTCGATGACTGAGGGATGATATGAGGACCATGTCTTGTCTAAAAACACGACACACTTGTACTTCACTACAATATTTTGATCTAATTAGCGTTATGTTGCCACTATATCGGCAGACCTACAGGACAAGACTGTATAAGGATATAGGATATGTCTATGTAGGGATAAAAGGAGGGTTTTACTATGTAATAAGGCTGCTCAATTAATCGAAATTTGATCATGATTACGCTTTTGGGGCCAAACAATCTCAAAACTAAAATCGGGGGAAACAACTTTTTTCTTCATTTTCTGTTGGCAACGTTTGTCCCAATTCAGGGATGCAGCCCCCTGAATTGGGACACAGCCACAGTCTGCGTATTTCCGTCGCTCCCCCACCACCATGCACTACACACGGAGTCATGGGCTCGTATACTCGCCGTTCCCGACCTGTTGCGCGACAATGTGAAGTCACGGGAGCGCCGTAAGTGTTTATACTCGCGCTGGTGGTCCGGACACTAGCTGCAGTTTCTCCTGTTACGTTGTTCTTCGTTTGAACAGGGTAACGCGGAGACTTACAAATGTTTACGGAAGGAAAGTGTAACTGAGTCTCCATGCAATTTTTTGACAAATGTCCAATAAATGGCATCATGTTTCTGAAGTTTAAAAAAATAATTGTTTGAGATAATCGGATTTCAATTTGACCCAAATAATCGTGATTATGATTTTTTCTATAATCGAGCAGCCCTACTATGTAAGTGAACTCCTTAAGAATAGTCAAAGAGAGTGTATGTCATATATACTGTATATTGGTATATATTTGTATAAGTGCGTAATACTTTACAGCAGAAGTCACATGCCACCAACTATGTCACTGATTCTAGTAAAACTGGATCATATTTTAGTTTTTTTAGTAGCTGCTGTTTGCTAGTTAGCTTAGCCATACTGCCCTGGATGCCCAGGACTGGGTTGAGCTTTGAAATGATGGGAAGAGGAAGTTTTAAGGCCTGGGACGGGGCGAATGCTGACAGAAAGCAGAGAGGGCGTCATGCCACAACCGGAGTCGGAGAACAGGCAATGTAACTGGGAGACCTAAGAGGATGACGGAGGAAACTAGGAAGAGAAAAGGTGAGAGACGCCACCAGGGTTGACCCCGACTGAGGATTTTCCTAGTCGACTAGTCATCACACTTGACACGGGTCAAGAGTAAATGTGGGAGCTGGAGTTTTTTTATCTTAAGAAATGCACGTGTCCATATTTACAACAATGGTATGACACTGCCAACTTGCAACAAATACCAAATCTTACCAAGATTTTACCATTTCCAATCTTAATGTTGCCATGTCTGGCAGCACATTTACTAGACTGTATATGAATGCAGAACATTCCCCACAGCATACTACAGGTTTTCAGAAACTGTTTTTTCTACACTTCTGGCAGCTGTCGTTTCCCTTTACTTCTGTAACCATATGAAAATCACCTTGCATGACTTGAAACTTAAAAGTGATCTCCGTGCCTACTTATGTTACAGTTGGTAATAGAGAAGCGCAGCCTGTTCAAAACTCTGTACCTTCCCCAAACCCTTGACAAAAACATTGTTGCATTGCCAATCCCAGGTAAGCTTCTAGCCTCTGAAAGTTGATTATCACATATTATTAAAATGAGCGATCACTTGTTTCGTCTAGACAACTGAAACCTGCATTTCCGCTTGAGTTCACTAATCTCTCTTATCAAGTAAGTCTAAATTGTGTTTTATCCAACTAACTCATTTTGCTGAAGATTTGACGACAGCAACAGTCAAAGACGTGATCTGTAACAACATACATTCAGTTTTGCAGCTAAAACTAACGCAGATGAGTTCTGCAATAAGCCCTTCAAGAAAGTTATAATCTTCGGGTTTTGTTTAAAACGCTGTTGATTCAACTGTCTGGTCATTTTGGAGGCTGTAGTTTGTGTTGCTGTTGACGTTACTGCATTAAACAGATGTCTTCTTTTATTGAGCCTACCCTCATTGGTATAAATGCGGTAGACAACACCTGTCTGTTGTATTAGACTGCATTTGTTTTCGCTAGGTGCACTTAGTGTGCATTTCTAAAGAATATGTCACAACACGCCAGTCTTCTAAAGCTCATGAGAATTGTGAAGCAAGACAGAAGCGACAACACCCCTTTAACTGAGACGTCCATCATTAAGGGTGTTACAGTGAAGGCATCACAATATAATAATCCGACCACAGAATGTTAAAATCTGAGCGCCTGCAACCATAATAGCAGGATGAAGTGGGCCAGGCTGCAGCAGACGTGGGCAGCCTTGCCCTCTGAGGCTGGGCAGAACAAGCAGAATGGCCTAGAAGTGACTAACTAAGTGAACTATTCAGCATTTCCTAAACCGACCGTACAATGCCCCTGAATAGGTCGTCACCACCACACAACTATGATAATACTTCAAAAAGGACAATAGCGAACAACAATTGCGACATTCGCATGCAGAGTAGGAAGCAGATTTCTTCATTCTGTGCTTCTGGTTTAAATCTAAAAACAGCCTCCGTTTGATGATACCATTTACCTGTAAATTATTTACAACATGGTTTTTTGTGACTCTTTTTGTTGCTATGACACACTTCAACACACATTTCTTCTTACGGTTTAAGCTTAATAGGAAGCTCCAAATCATTCAAATATAAATATAATGGTTTAAAAAGTCAAAATAGAGAAGCTAGGGCTCTTTCAATAAATACACATCCTCCATACAGAAGCAATTTGACTATATTCGTTCCTCAGGGAGTATTAAAACCAGCAGTACCGCCACCCAGATTATTATAACGAGTAAAACTTAGCACTTCAAAGTTAAAATGATATGGAAGTAACTAAGATGCAAGGATTGCAAAATAAGTGATGTTTGCGTGTGAGGCAAAAGAGTATGTGTGTGCTCTTCAGTGTAAAACAGAGAGTAAGCAATCTCTTTTTAATATGCCAAATATGAAATAAATCAATAAACATGGACGATGTTTTCAGTTTGTTTTAACAATCCAGTTTTACTGCCTTTCACTTGCTACAGAGAGTACGCTGGCTTAGACTGAAAAGTCCTCCTCCATGTAGCGTTATATTTCTGTCATGCTGTGAACGTGTATGTTCTTGTGTCTTTCTTAGGCCACATTTTGTAAGAACAAGCGTTTAACCACTTTAGCAGGAGAGAATATGATATCGAGAAGCTGCATTACAGTATTTGTTGCAGAATGCTATAAAATCTGAACGTTTAGACAACCAGAAAACGCAGTTGGCATGCAAATTCAGCGGCGTTATCTAAATCTCCATAAACATCAGACTGCTGCAGTTTACGGTAGGACAAGCACCTTGAGGGGTTGCAATCTAACACAGCAGCTGTTTTATTCTCACCTGTTTTGCAAGGGGTGCTTGATATACTGCTCAGGATTCGCAACGACTTGGCTGTCAGTCGGTTGATCTTCAGTTTCAGGTGCTTTCTGAGGAGAGAGACACACACAAAGACACATTGTGAGCCTTCTCTGAAGACAAAAAGACATTCATTCAAAATGTCTACATCAGTATCGCTCCTGTATGTCCTTTGATCGGCATCGTAAAAGTTAAGAGTTTGCATAGGCTTTACGCAAAGCTATGGAGGGGGGTGGGGGGTGCATTAATATATTACCAACTTGTGATAGGAGGCTAGATGCTGCTTTGTGGTTACAGTTATGTCACAATGCAGCACTTAAATGAGGTCTTGGTCCTGACTTTAAAGTCTTCATTACCCATAAGTGGTGGTTTTCTAAACCTGTTTAAACTGGTCAAGCTGAATAAGATAAGGTATTGGTAAAATCCTCCCTCACTGGCCATCCTATGCACATTAGTTACTGATATTTCTCAGGGAATATATATATAAAACAAACACTCATAGCACACTGTCGAATTGTAAGTATTAGCTAACCCTTAAAGTAGGCTAGTAGTACCTTAAACATTTGACAGTAGTGTCCATCTTTACACAGTCAACCTTTTTAACCATTAAACCTAAAAGGCCCACAGAAAACATCTCGCATTATTGGTTGATAAAACACACATATATATACGCCTAACACAACCCGACATCGTTTTAGCAGACGTTAGCTCAGCTAGCTACGAGCTACACACACACGTGTCCAGATTGTCCTAAAAAAACCAATCAATACCATCCTAACGTGAGCTGCTAAAGGTGCTGGGAGTCGATTAAAAAACCCCCATACGGATACTGACTCTAATATCGAAGTAGTGTAAAACAAACGGCGGATGGGGAGTTTGAATGAACGACGTCCAGGCAGTGAGTGAGTCCCTCCCTTGCCAACAAAGTGAGGCAGCCTGTATCCATCACCCTGCTAACGCTAATGAGCTCCACCGACTCACACATCTGTGGACTCAAACGCCCCAAAAAACACACAATAACCGGGGTCGTTTCAAGGGTGTGAGCTGGTGTAATGAAGCCGCCAGATGTAGTGAAGATGTAGGTTTTATTTCCATGCACATAAGTCGGTTTTCTCCCCCCCCACACTCCCTCCCTCCCCAGCTATCTCTTGTCTCTCTTACCGGCTCCGATGTCGCCATCTTGACAGAAGAAATGTTCTGCCCGTTCAGCGCTTCTGCGTCACACTGCAACCACTCACACACCTACGGAAGCCGAGGTGGGTGGTATGAAACCCAAAAGAGGGATCCCTGTTTAATAGAATAAAAAAAATAAAGGACACACACATCAAAATATCAATATGTTTGATGTTGAAAATACTTTAGAGTGCTGTGTCTCTCTATGAAGTTCTTCCCAGAAGTCAGGATAATAGTAATAATCATAAGACATTTTATTTATAAGCGCTTTTCTAGATACTCAAAGATACATAAAAACATAAAAACAGCAAAACAACATTAAATAGTAAAACAGTAAAAAAAAAAAACATCAATCTAAGCTTAACATTAAAAGCAATTTTAAAAAGGTGAGTCTTTGTCAGAGATTTAAATATTGGAAGGTCGGTGCAATCACAGATAGTGTTTATAAAGATTCATTAAAAGGCTCAAACACAATATTATTTCTTTTCCTGTTTCTTGTCTGACAGTATTGTTCTGGACCCTTACAATCCGCCACACCTACTTTACTTTATAAAAGTAAATTTTTATTTTTGTAAAATAAAAGTCCTGTTACTGTTGTATATGAGCATCCTTGCTGCTCCTCCCATTTATTAATGAACAAGATGTTGGGGGATAATATGGTAAAAATCCTCTTTAATAGTATAGGCAATATTATTTCACACTATTGCTGCGGTATTAATAATGTAATATTTGTTTTTTGGAAGACCAGTGGATTAAATATATTAAAATCACAGCACCTCATCCCATTTTTTTGGAATACTCTAAATCCAATATTACCAAATAGGGAGCCGATACTACCACATATATTAATGGGATGGCTATCAGGTTAAAGACAATATAACAAAATCTTCATTTGTCTCATGATATTTCTCAACATATTCCCAAACTATTGTATATTATCTTTGAAATCATCCCATAATAACATCATAGGCTTTTGTTATAATTATTCTCTCATATGTTTCTGTAACTTTATGTACATAAACTTAAAAGAAAAGAATCTTACAGCAAAAAGTCAAATACTCCACTACCTCCATGCTATTTTTCTTATACCTCTTATAAAAGCAGTAACTCATGAGCCTCTAGAGGTCATCCTACCTGCTTTCATCTGCAATAACTGACTGTTGCTGATTAGGAATTGTTGTACTCTTTCCCTCCTTCAAGAAGGTCAGGATGTAGAGTGATCACTGGGGTTGGCAGCGATTCACAGTAACTAAGCACTAGTTTTATACTTCTCCTCCACTACATTTGGAGTAGAGAGGAAAATGTTCACTACATTTTTGAAGAATTCTTATTTTTTATATTGTTGCGCAAGATAACTTGAGTGCAGAAATTATTGTCTTATGCTCAAAAAAAATAAATAAATCAACTTTCTGCACCTTGGGGATGCCATAATTTAACTGAAAGAGGCAAATTTGCATGATGAGTGCTTTTACTTTTGCTATTTCAGTTCATTTTTCTGTTAATACTTCTGTTGCCTACCTTTACTCAAGTGTGCAGGACTTGAAACCCTGTGATTTTACATTGTAGTATTGCTACTTTTACTTAAGTAAAGGATCCGAATACTGTTTCCACCGCTAGGGATTTAATAACCAGTTCATAACTGACTTTTATCCTGACCACTCTACATCTCACCTCAGCAGGATTAGTACTAGACACAGTATGCACATACATTTATATGTAATCTGATGTTCCACTTTCTTATGTTTTCATGTTTCTCATTCTTTGACAGTTTACTCCCACAAAAGTGGAGATAAATCCAGCTACAGTTGCTGCCAGCTGTTCATTCCATAGCTGTGCTCAGCGTAATTAGTTATACTCGACTGTGACGCAGCATCTGTGTTTATTCTGATGGCACACTTACAGTAGCACAGCCATATTAAGGTGAGGTGAGCAGGCCCATACTGTGATGTAAAATTAAGGCTGGTATAAATGTACAAAGCTCTTTATGGCCACAAGAGCTCAGTTACTGACTTCCTCCTCCATGTGGTTTGGTCACATGTGGCTTTCTGTGTTAGCAAATTTCACACAATGATGTGCAACTTTAAGGAGGTTGGAAAGATTGACAGAAGCCATCAAGATGTACCAATGTGCTCAGCACCTCTAGTATCCTAACCCTTGAACATCGTGTTTTTTGTGACACTTGACATGTGATTAATCATTTCCTGAATCCTCACTATGATGTCCACACATCATCAACCTTTCAAGGATTTTAACATAATTAATAAAGGTCTACTTAAATTCTTCACAGATTGTGTCCCTGGTGTAATCACTTAATGTCACACTGCCCTGAACTGAGTGAAGACAACCACTGTGTCACTCACAATAGACCATAGTTTATTTTGTAATAGGCAGTAAATTGAGATTTCAGACATTTATGAATCATCATTTTGTGTCATCACTGTTCTACTGTGGGAGTTATATTTCACAGTAACACAATAACTCAGTTATTATTTAATTCAATGTTTTCACTGTGAGTTATTAAAATTAGCTCCACCTACCAGCTACAAAATGTCAATGATGAACACTTAATAACACTTATAATCCAGTAATGTTTATTATTCTGAAATGCTCCATTCTGCGTAATGAGTACATTTGGTACTTTTAGTATATTGTGTGCTATAATGTGCTAATTACTTACTGTATGTACATTTTTGTGAATTTTGAATGCATTTTTACTTGTAACAGAGCATTTTTATATTGTGGTATGGCTACATCTGAGTACTTCTTCAACCAGACTGACAGACTGCCTACATATAGTGAAGAACAGCATGTTCTTGATTTATTATCTCAAAACTTATTTCTCAATATGCTTGGGTTGTGTGGTAATAGCAGTAATTATGATTGTTATTTAGAATAGACTAAACTTCTTAAGCATTCTTGTGTTGAAGTTACTAAGTTTTCACTGAGTCAGAAGCAAATTATTTTCCAACATCATCTGGAAAAAAAAAAAAATACCATGATGTTACCAGTCCTGGGGAGAAATTATACAAAAACAAGTGATTCATTCCCAAACATTAAGAGGTCAAAGTCTAAATTACTGAACTGAAATTCCTCAGCAGTGACTCATACAGTATGCTTGTGTGGGAAATTCAGAAAGAAAAAAAGTGTTTTTGGCTTTTTTGAATAAAAATTAACCCATAAAATATATTCTGCTTGGCTTGTTAAAAACAGATCGACCTACTTAATGTTTAAATAAATAACACAAGGTCCTCATATGTCAAAAGTTGTGTCACACACACACACACTGTACACAGCACATGTGTACAAATCAGGACAGAAGAACTTGTGATCAGGTCCAAAATATAAATATGACTTTATTTCACAATCCCGAAAGAGATCAGCCATCCATAAAAGGAATGCTAAATTTAGTCTCTTCTCAAGTCTAAACTGGATATACTTTCAGCAACATACAGTAATTCAGTTTCAAAATAAGCAAGATCATCCATTGTCTAAACACCATTAAAAGTACAGTAAAAACAATATGGTTCACATACATATTTACACATTTTCTACTAATAAAAGTTTTTTGTTTGTTTTTTTCAGATTTTTTAAATGCTGGTGCTAGTTGTTAGTTCCTCGTTGATACAAAGACTTTCAATGTGGATCGAGAATGTCCCCCACAGTAAATCAGAAGAAACTTTGTCATGTTCAAAAATCTTCTTTCTGAATCAACTGATTTAAAAACTGTTTACATTCATTTCATTTTGCGTGTATGCTGTGATTTGTGAGAATTGTCGGAGAGTTTGGTTCTCTGTGGAAGACATTTGAACTCCAGATGGACATCTGCACAACAATTTGCTTTTATTTTACTGGTATTTTGAAAAAAAATCATGATCAGTGGTGGGATGCCAACGCATCTCAGTCTCTTGTCAGCCAGTAATCATCCAGAGAAATGATAAAACTACCTTTGTACAGAATCATATACCAGATCAGTGTGTGCTGAGTTTCAGAAAAAAGCACCATGCCATCACCGTTCAGTATATAACCAGGTAAGGTCAATGTATGTACCTTGACATCTTGTCCTATTAGCACCAAAAGGAAGTCCAAGTGTCTAAAAGTCCAAAATGTTTCTCACAGGAAACGTCATACCACCAGTGTTAGTGTGAATAGCAGTGAAAGGTCTTTATCGGTTGTGCTGAAATATCATCGATGAGTTCTTAAAATGAAGAGCTTCTCTTTCATGGGTAATAAAAAATAAACATCCTGATTCACCAGGAGTTGACACCAACCCCCTCATTCAGACCCTGTAAAAAAAGCTATCTGTAAACAAAGTCTTCACAAGGGTTGAGCACCCGAAATCATCTTAGGCAATTGTCTGAGTGGGATCAGATGTTTGAGTGGTTTTTCAAAAAGAGCAGAGAGGAGGCAAAAGAAGAAAAAGTTTGATTAGTCAGCATTGGCTAACAAGTTTTGTTTTCAGATCTGACACTCTGTGATTATTGTGAAAAAAAACAAAACAGAGGTCTCATTAGCACCATTAAAATGTACAGTAAGTTTCTGAAATCCTATAATCACACTTGTGCCCTGTGAAAGACTTTTGAATTCCTTTTCCAGAAGGTGAACGTAAGTGCCAATCATAATAAGCACTTGTTTGTTGCAGCATTTCACGATTCCTTATTATGTTAAGTTTTGAATTTCATTAGATATGTATACCATTTCAAATCAAATAAATGCAGAAATATTGTAAAAATAAAACCGGGTTCATGCGAAACTGTCATATATATCTCTATCTGTACATACATATTCAGGCCTATGGATTGGGACCCTTTTCAAGTTAAGTTTAGGAAAACAAAAAAAGTGCTTCTCAATATGCCATACATATCTGTGAATAAAAGACAAACCATCCAGACAAAGAGAAACTAAAACAAACCAAAGAAGTGCGTTTCTTTCATCGACTGCCAACAGACGTCAGAGGCAGCAGAGGGAAAAGCACGTTGCTACATGTGACAATCTGTAGTAAATATATGCACGATATTAGTCTTGTTTTCTACATTATGTGATGTAATGAGTTTGCTAAACGTAGGTTACAGTGAGAATGGCACCAATGTAAAAGCCAATGAGATTCATCTCACGAAGAGAGAACCACTGGCTGAAAATAAAGAGCATAGTCCTACTGTACAACATAAATTCTGAGCGTCAACACAAAATGCAGGTTATTATAGAAATCTTGCAGTAAACAGGCTTACACCAGGAATTAAATAGAAATCGTTATGATCAGAATAAATAATCACATCTTTTTTGTTCTTAATCATGTATATAAAACCAGTTTAAAAACGTCTTTAAAATGCTTCAAAGCACCATCTCTTTACAATAAAAACAACACTGAAACTCACAGTTAAAAAGCCAACAAACTTTGGTCTTCCTCATCACTTTGAAGGCAGAGATGAAGAAGACAAAGTGAAACAGATATTAGAAAAGCACAACCAAAATGACGTAAAAATGAGAGTAGCAGTTTGAAGTTGATTGAGGTAAGGCAGAAGCACAGGGTGTAGGAGTTTTCTGTGTGTGTGTGTGTGTAAAACATGTTGACTATGTCCAGCGATTGTAGGGACCCGTCACTTGGGTAAGAGCATAAGGGGACACGGTGACGACACCATCCCTCGGGAGAGTCCATGCATGACGTGTGGGAACATTCATGATCCTCCTTGCCTCCTCTTCCTCCTCCCCTGCTCCCTCCTCTCGCTCCACACCTCCTGCTCCTTTGCCGTTCAACCCCATGCAGTTGTTCAGGCTGTCCTCCATCCTTAATCTCTCCGCCTCCTCCTCCCGTTCCCGTTCTCGCTTGGCCATTTTGGCGTCCCACATAGCCATCCCGTGACCTGGTTCATTTAGAGACTTGTGCTGGTAGAAGACCAAGGAGATGCGGGTGGGGTGGCTTCGGTTTGGCCTGAGGATAGGGGTGGTGGCGTGGAGCTCCCGCCGTGCACACTCGATCAGGATGGAGCCGTGTGACGGTGCCACTGCGACTCCGCCTATATTGTGGTCCAGGAAGTTGTGCTCGCTGTCTGACCACACCTCTTCCTGCTTAACTTCCTCTGGTTCAAATGGGGGAGTTTGTGGGGGGAGGTGGAGAGATGAGAGTGGAGGGAGGCCATGACCCCTGACCTCTGCCATGACATCTCCTGCAGCCCTGTGGAGTCCATTGAGCCTGCTGAAGAGGCCCTCAGAGGTAGGTCTGGGGGAGAAGGAGGAGGGAGGAGGAGCACTCCCACTGGGGGAGGGTCTGCGCAGGGGAGAGCAGTGCACCTCGTTGGGCTCAGTTTTAAAAGCAGGGGGGTAGTCACTAAGAGCATTATGTGGAGGTATACGTTCTGAAGTAACACTCTGGTCACCAGATGCTGGAGAATAACCATTCATGGCGTCACTCATTGTCTTATAATTAAGAGCTGAGCCATTCTGTCCAAAGTGGAGGCCAGGCAGGCCATGATGGTTGGGGGAGATGACCTCCTTTTGTGGGGTGACCCCTGCACCCAGAGTGGGGTAGCTGCTGGTGCTCTGGCTGTAAGTGCTGGGTTGATTCCTGTCCGGTAGGTACTTTCCAACGCTGGCTGGCCTGGGTGGTAGTCTCTGTGAGCTGTAGTAGCCCTGAGGCTCTGTTTTGAAGGTAGAAAAAATACATTTTTAAAACACAGATTTGATAATCAAAAAACATGTATACAATTTGACCTCAATGTATTGCTTATTAAAATAGAGAGACTTGGATTTACTACCTTTGTTGGGGGTTTCACTTTTTACTTTCCCAGGAGTGAGAGTCAGCCCGAGCTTCTTTTCCTGTTTCTCTGCTTGAGCCTTCAGACGAGCCTCTTGCCTTATCTTACGGGCGGATTTTACTGGCTCAGCCAGTAGACGCACCTGACACATACAAAAAATAAATCATTTAAAACACTGCATTACAATTTTATTCGTATGTTTGCAACAGATGTCTTAAACCACTGATGTTGCAGTTAGAAAGAAGAAAGAAAAACAAAAAACTGCTTTTCTGTTCACTCACCTCTCGGGGAAAGGAGGACAGAACTTGCAGAGCACCACTTCGGATCTTGGCCCACTGGCCCTCAACCTGACCAAACTCATCCCTGTCAGAGATCCTGTAAAGTGGCAGAACATGGAGCTGCTCATCCTCTGGTATGTTGCGCACTGCACGGTTATCTTCCTTGGTTAAAGTGCAAACCTGAGAAAGGACACAGACAAAAGGCAAGTTGTTCAACAAAACAGTGGACCATATGTAATCCATACATCAAGGGACTGAGCCAAAACTAGAACTAATGACCTTTGAAGTAGGTCGGGGGTGCATTTAGACACACAATACAGGAGTAGATAACATGGTGTCACACTTATAGCTTGCTTACCACAGTGCTGCCATTATTCATGTTGTGAGTATCCTTGTGAGCATGGGCACAGAAATCCACACAGGCTGTGACCCCAGAAAAAGGACGTCCCTCCCTCCTGCCCAGCCGGCAGTTACTCCCTGCCTCCTCATTTTCCACCTATGAGGGTTAAAAAGACAAGCCATGAGCCAAGAGTTTAATTTGTGGTGAAGACGGTAAGTGCTCTCCAATCTACAGGGAGGTTGTTCCAGAGTCTTGGTGCAGATGAACTGAATAAGGCTTCACCCAACAATTAATGTGAGAGTCAGCAGAAGGCAGAGATCTGGAGCATAAACTGTGAGGAGGTCTTTGAGAACAAAGAGAGAAACTTAAAGGGAAATAGAGGAATTCTATTAATACTAACTAAGAGAGCTATGTGTGGCAGCTGTTTAATATTTCATACCTGGTTTTGGAAGGCCTCAGGAGCCAGTCTTTTATAGAGTGGTGCAAGGTCAGTGGCGAGGTTCTGAAGGTTGCTCTCGATCTTCTCCTCCTAAAAGTAAAGGGGTGAATAACAGGTGATTTACAAAAAATGTCTGTTGTTTATAGTGTTCTGCCTACAGTAAAGATTTTCATATCCAACATAAGCCACTAGGAGGCAAATGTTTGGTAAAGATTTGATCAACCAAGTCTGCCCTTATTGCAGTCAAAATGCAGAGAAGCAAAAGAACTGATACAACAGCATGCTGATCATACACATAATATCTTCTCACATCCCTATAACACAAGGAGAAACAAATAGGATAGATTGGAATTGATGATTTCCTCTAGGATTTGTGGTAGTTGACCACTCCCTCACCTCCTCCCGGTAGTCTCCAAGCAGGCGAAACTTGCGGGGCACTTTGCTGCGGGCAAACTTACAGCCATTGAAGTACATACTCCAGGAGCAGCCAAAGGAAAATGAAGCTCCGCAGGTGTCCGGGTCCAAGCCTTGGCATGCACACGTACGACTGCGGAGATGTAGTGGCGGGAGGAAGATGAAGAAACAAACAACGTTGGGAAGAAGTAGTCTCATTGCAAAACAAAGGAAGCGGTACTCACTCTTCATTGAGGGCACAGCGACGGCTGGTGGGGGAGCCGTATTTAAAGAGGGACTGCGTGAGTTCCTGGTAGAGATTATCCGCCACAGGCCGAGGGATTCCCTCCCATGCCAGAATAAGAATCACCAATACGGCAGCGTCACAGTAGTGCCCTGGTCTCTGGCGGACCAAACACAGCAGCTTCTCCTCTTCACTGTCACGCCGAATCACCTATCAGATGATGCACACAAACACACAGAACAAAGAGATTATAACAGATGAACAACAGCAAACGCAAATACAGCAAAACTAGTACTTTTTCTATCACAAAATCACAGATTCCTACTGACTTATGTGTTCGCAGCGCTGTGATTGACCAATAACATTTTAAAATGGTCAATATTTACATGTAAGCTTCGACATGATGTTTAGGGATTAAGTTGGAAATAATTATATTTAGGTTATGGTTACATGACTGGTGGTAGCTAAGGGTTTGCTGTGGTTTTGGTAAGTGTTAAGGATAAAGTGGTAAGGATCTGGGAGTGATTTCTGTCTAAATATATAATAGTAGAATCAACAAGAACGTTTCAACAAACAGGAGACATATTCAGGACATTTAGGATAGTACCATGAATGCGAACAGCAGCCACATACCCATTTAGCTATTGGACACCCTTGGGAGCTCTTTCCTTCCTTCCCAGTGTAAACAACAACTTCCACTCTTACTGCATTTCCTTTGGTACCATACCTGTGACAAACACAACATACATATGAGAAACATTTCACTGAACACTTCTTAGACAACATTACATTGCTAATCAAACATTTGTGCCTGCAAGCAGAAAACTTCCTAGACTCGTATCAGTTAATAATAAGAATAAATACTGAAATATCTTTGATTCGTAAGTACTTTTCCATTGAAAAACAGTTTTTAGTTAAGCGTGGCTGTCAGATGCACTGTGATGCAAGTTGTTTTAAACTGGCTGTCATCTTGGTCTACGGGCCCCTCGTCTCAGCTCTAGGGGTTTCCTGTTTCAACATGTTGTATGTGTTGTGTGTACATGTGTGTAGCTGAGACAGAGGGTGAACGTGTTGAGCTAGCTCAGCAATGTTTCCTTTTAATGACAGACTGTTTGGCTGTGACCCCACCCCATTCCACCAAGCCTGTGGCTGAGTGGGCGGCACTCAGGATGTTTGGTAGTAAACACACCCACGTATACTCAATGTGTAAACAGAGTGGTAGTAGTCGCTCTACCTGTTCTCCATTAACTCTCTCACTGCAGCAACACTAGGTCCTGCCCCAAGGTGAGTATAGTAAGGACCTTCCTCCTTTTCAATGATTTGGTCTGTGGAAAAAAAAAACCCAAGATCTATTAGATATCAAAGAAACTTTACTGAGTGTAGAACTGTCCTTCAGTTAGCACAACAGCTTCAAATAAACACTGACGCCCAGTTTACAGTCATTCTTGATAAGGAAGTCACACTAATGTAAATGTGGTATACATAGGAAATGTAGCTGTATCTCAGTTCTGGGGCCAGCATCTAGGATGTCCACATTTCAAGGCCAAATACATTATATCAAGGGTCATCAAGACTCCACAAAGAATCCCAAAGCCTCCTCCAAATATGGCAGAGAAATGCGGCCTCCTTTTGCTTGAACTGGCCCCTGAATTAGGGCACAGCTAGTGTGTGGGTGTGTGTGTGTATGTTTGGATGTGTGTGAGAGAGAGAGAGAGAGAGAGAAACAGAAAAACGAGAATCAGTTTGAGGTCAAAGAAAATCAGTGTTACTCGAAAGCAAACTTTCAAGGGACAAGACACTTTAGTCACAAAGTGGAATATATCAAATGTGATACCAATGAACACATCAAAGACTTGAAAATCTTGGGTTAACAAAAACTCACCCATGCATTGACAGGATGGAAGATCAGCCAGTTTTTTGGAAGGAGTATTGAGCAAGTTCTTGGTAGGGGTATCCAGAAAACTTATAGGAGACTCCAGAAAGCTGTTGATGCTGTTCTTGGATGGAGTTGACTCTGCAGAGTGGCCCAGATCCCCATCAGTAGCCGTGGACAGGACAGTGACAGGTCCTGACCTCTCCAGCTTGTAGTAGCCCTGCTGGCTTGGAGGAGGGGACTGCCGAGCTCCTGAGAAGCCATTAGCTAGACCATAGTGCCCAGTGGTGTGGCTGAGGAAAGCGGTATTGGCTGGGCTGGCGTTAGGATCAGCACTGTGCTGCAGCCCACCACAGGGCTGTGCTACCTGAGATATCAAATGCCTTTCACACTCCTGCCCTGGTCCTGCAGCATGTCCATTGCATGGATTGTGTTGGTGGAGTGGACCATTTGAAAGAGACCATAGCTGGTTTTCTTGACCCCGAATGTGGTTGATCCTTGTGAGAGTGCTATAATTCTGAGTCTGCGGCCCTAAGAGGGCTGTATTCTGTGCATTACTGTGATGAATGAGTTGCCTCCTTTCCTCCTGAGCCTCAGCCAAGTATCTCTTCAGGTCAATTTGAGCCTGAGGCAGAAACAGGTTCCTCTTGTGGTGAAAGCCTGATTTCCCTTGTGGGAGAGACTTCTTGCCTCTGCTCCTGTGGTGTGTCTCTCCATTTGGCAAACGTTTTGAGAGGGGGGTCCTGCAGTTGATTCCCTCAGGTCCATCACTCTTCTTCTTCCTGGGCTTGGAAGGTGTAGCTTTTGCTTTTTTTATGAGGGGCTTTTTCTGACTGGGGGGTAGCTGGGAGTTGTAGTTGTACATGATGGCTGACACAGGTGTTCCTTTTGGAGGGTTGTTCTCTGACTGCTGGTTGTGTCTGGACTGGATGATGAAGGCCAGGTCTGCCAGCTGAGCTGCCACCTCCTCCTCATCTCTGTTTCTCCTCGCTTTACCGACAACCATGTCTTTGTCTTCCCCAAACAACTGCTCGTGATCTTTACTGAACTTCATGTCACTGGGATTTTGATAGCTGCATTCTGACTTGGTGACATGAGAACCAAAGCCCTTCTCTGCCCTCCTGCAGGGTGCTTTATCACGATCTGAACTGGCCTCTAAGAGGTCCTGCAGAGACAGCTTTGTGTTGTAGCTCGACCCCTGGGAACACTGGATGACATTCCCTTGTCTGGCCACAGGAGGGCGTATGACTGACGTCTGGTGTAGTGGTGAGCTGATGACCGAGACTTTGTTGTAGGGAATACTTGCTGTGGGTTTGGCTTCTTGCAGGGTTGTATTTGTATTGGAGGTTGAAAATGGGGCAGCAGTAGAAATGGGATGTTCACACCTACTTTCAGCTTTAATGGACCCTGTGGTGTTTTGAGGTATAGCTGCCAGTTGAGTCAAAGCCTCAATAGCAATAGCCTGATCAAAACTGAGATTTCTCTTCTCTGCCAAAGACTGCACGCTTGGTAGCAAGACACTTGGAGGAGTTTCACTTTTGATAGACTGGGGAGTCCTTTGCAGGCTAACAGGAGTGCTTTTCTGACACAAGTCATTCTTCAAGTCTTCAGGCTCTTTCTTGACGAAGAGTAAATCTGGTGGTTCTGTTTTGATGGAACAAAGAATGGAAGAACGTGAGCTGAAAAGTTTCTCCTCCAGTCCTTTCCTCTCTGTGACAGAAAGACATACCACGGCCGCCAGCGTGGACAGTGGGTCTTCGCAGACCTCATCTTCATCACTCAGCTGTGTGGTGGCTTGTTCAGTTATCCACATCCATGGCTCCTCCAGTTTGATCTTCTTTAGCGGAACTGACATGTCATCTGGAGGAGTCTTGGGCCCATTCAGAGAGCAGTCCTCAGGGATTGCAGCTATTATAGTCCTTTGAGGCTCTGATGCAATCGTAGTCCTTTTATATGCAGACTTCAGATCAGAGTGTGACCCAGTGGTCATATTAGCACCATTAGGTTTTGTCAGGTTCTCAGCAGAACCATTCTGAAAAGTCCCAGAAGAGCATACATGTTGGTGAAGTGCAATGCTGGTCAGCTCCAGCCCGGGCTCTCTTTTAACAAGTGCTGGCCTTCCGGCTTGGTCTGAGGCCAGGTTGTGGGTGAGCAAGTTGTTGATGGGGGGGGATTGTGTATGAGGTATGTGGCCTTCCTCCCCCTCATCCTCCTCTGCTGCCGTGCGGGTGTCATCCATCTGTGCCTTGCCTTTGCCATTTACCGACCCACTTTCTGGAACCACCTGAGACACAGAGACAGAGAGAGACAACAGAAAGAGAAAGGTGACTCAACAAGCTCTGGCAGTATACAGTGATTCAGCTTGTTTTAACAGTCACGGCACACAGTACAACAGATTGCCTCCCAGCATGGCACGAGCATCTGCTGCAGCCACAATGAAGGCTGTGGAAAATATTATGGCATGTGAAAACAAAGAATCTGCTTTCTATAAATCTTGCCGAAACTGATCTCCAACTGATTGAACTATGTCCGTTCACAGTCGAGGCTTAACTCAGGACTACATTCCTGCCTGAGCAGTCGAGTGTTCAGAGCCACAGACCCACAGATAGCCGAGCACCAATGAGCAAACATTTGGAGTCACGCACAATTCTTGATTACGTCACTGCCAGTGGGTCACTGAGTGCTTGTGTGCATGTGTTTGTGCTGCGTTTTTAGGTGTGTTCCTGGGCATGCATGCATGAGTATGCAAGCACGTGTGATTATTAACACAGCAGCTCTGCCATGCTAATGCCTGCACATTATTTAGTGAGTGATTAACCTGCTCGGGGTCCTATCCAGACTCATTGCATCTACAGCACTGCTTGACCCTTCAGCTAAGGTGAATTCTGACTGCCAGCAGAGCTAAAAACCATCCAAAGGTCCAAATTATTGACATATTGATTGCCCCCAAAAGCCATGTGGAATACACAATAACATAGACTGTCTTAAGTGCAGACAACCACAGCCAGGACCATAAGCTGAAAAAAATGATTTGGTGAGAAATACAACTTGAGGAACTCTGAGGACAGTCTTTTTGCTTTTCTGCAGTTGCCAGAATATTGTAGTTTAGTATTGTTCACAGAAAACAGAAACATATAGTAGTATTAGAAACTAAAAGGGCACTAAAGCAAAACCCATTCTGATAAAAATCTATCTTATATAGAGGATTTCCTGCAACTGAATATGTAAAAGCCTTTTTTATTTTTCATCATCTTGAGTGAGCATGTAATCAACGGACGTCAAGTCAAGCTGCTTCTTATTTTAGGATTTAACTCTGCATTACATTCAAAACTAAAGCCCTCAGCAGTGGAAGACTGATTAAAAATGTTGCAGCGTGACAAAGATAAAAAAAAAAACACTGCATCATGTGCCAAGACTCAGCTGACAAAAGGATCTTAAACTCGTTTGCAAGAGCTGGGGGATATGTGTGCATTACTGTGAGCTGTGTGTGCTCTATGTTTATGTGTGTGTGTGTGTTAGTGTGTGTATGTGAGAGAGGTATCCCATTTTCCCTCTAAGGAACTAGCGCCACTGCAGTGTAGGTGGCTCTTTATCACTGTTTATCACTGGCAAAAACACCAATTAAACTCCATCGCTGCCACTGTTTTAATGCATTTTACAGCAGGAGATGTGGACTCTGACAGATCAAGAGTAGTACAGAACAGTACTTCAATATAAACCAGACTCCTAGAAACCCACAGACCAAACAAAAAACACTTGAGTTTATAAGTTACATGTGCTCTGTTTAACTTTGTCCTGTCAATTTCCATCAGACATGAACTAGGTCGCACTGATATACTACTACCATACTATTTTTTACTGCATTTAACTACATAGAGTACTATTTTCGAGGTCACATTGCTGCTAAACATCAACCCAAAGCTGGAGCTGGGGTTGGTCCATTTTAAAAGTTCTGAAAAATCCTGGATAAAATGGTAACAGTGCATTTGACTTTCAAGCGTGCAGAGTGAAAAAAGAGTTGAACCTTGTGACATCCTGCATGTGATGGCCACTGAGCAAAGGCATGAACTGTCATTCATGAGGAAGAAGGCATTGAAACACAAGAGATTAAGCAGTGCTCCGGAGCTAAAAGCTAAACTTAAGTTGGGAAACAAAAGGTGTCGAAGGCAGCGCTGAGATCTAAGAGGATTAATACTGAGCAACCTTCTGCATTGGGTGATTAAAGACGGTTGTTGGTTACCTTGAAGAGATCTGTTACTGTGCTGTGTGAAGCCAGAGAGACAAATGTTAACAAGGACAGGTACTGGCATACAATATATTCATTTTGGGGCTAAAGGATGAAGGCTGTGTTTAATGAGACATTTGATGTTCTTTCTTACATGTGATATTATCACAAATCTGTAGCATTCAACACAGTCCAGGAGCTTACTTTGAGATGAAGCACTCAGAATGTTTTTTTTTTGGTATACCGACTGACTCTCAACCTAGACTGTGTTTCTGATAAGGTGATTTGACACCCAAAAAGGTGCTGTGTGAATTCTTTAGTGTTTGATTACAAACCTGCAAAAAAGGCACGATTTTGTAGCGAAGGAAACAGAGTAAAAAAACAATATGTGTTCAAGCATCAGTGGAAAAAGTTTTTTTATCTTCCCATTCTGTAATGATTTTCTTCCACTCTCATTGCTGAAATTCCATAAGACATGCAGCTCTAAATAGAAGCCCTCGCTCTTTGACTATGTGGCACTGGTGAACCTGCTGTTCACCGCTGAGATATCAGAAAATGTTTTTCATATTTAACTCCATTGTAGCTGTGCTGGAAATATTTTTACATGTCACAACCTTGTGTTTGTGTATGTTCCTGTCCAGTTATCCACAGGAATGCAAGGCACACTGGAAAAAGCTGTTTATTAAAACAATGTTAACAATTTGTTCAGAGGCTGAACTGTCGAGTGAGCTGTTCAGGATGAATAAAATGTTGAGATCAGACATGATTAGTATGGTGGAGCCAATTTATGTGGTATTCTGGATCCCTCTCTTATCCATTGCTCTTTCTCTCCAGTCCACTGCATGACTTTCAGGACTGTTCCTTACTACTACTAACATGCTACTGATGCAACAGATAGCTGGAGCTCAGACTGAGGCAATACCAAAGCTGCCAATGCAACAGGGTTAGATACGAGCTCCGCGCAGCGTGTGGAAATGGGCCACCGTGATGTTCAAATGAGAGAGTGAGAAGAAGAGTGGAAAGATGGGGAGCAGGGGGGGGAGAGGGAGAGGGAAAGGCAGTGTGTCTATCACAATAAACTGCTTTCAATGACAAAGCAGCACTGGCCGGCTTCCAGCACTGCACCAGACACACGCGTGTCTCTATGCATTGTGTGTGCGTGTGCATCCATTTGCGCATCCAAGTATTCAGAAACTGAAGCTGACATCAAAGTACAGCGCCTGTTTTTAATTATGTTACATTTAGCCTTGTGATAACAAAAAACCTAATGCAGGATGTAAATGCAGAGTCATGTGCTCTCATTTAGTCACTGGGTCTCTGGAGAGAGCTGTGTCTGTGATGTGTTAGAGCTGTGTCTTTGTGTTGTGTCTGCCTCAGGGTGTCTAAAGTCACTCACACGGCACTGTACTGTTCTAAATGCAAAGACAGTCTTCTTTTTTTTTTTGTTAGACGAACACACACCCAACTACTACAGTTGTCAAAGCTTTAACAATCAACAAAACATGTGCTGGAGTAGCTAAGGGTGAGTGCTTTACACAAACACACGTTCAGAGACCTAACCCTAGCAACAAAAGTGTGACTGCCGCTTGAATCCTAACAACCCCCTCACTCTCTAATGGGTCTCCAAGGAAGTTTCGAAGGTGTGTGTATCTAATCTTAACACAGACATACAAACACACTCACATACATATCAAAATGTTCATACACACCTGAATTCAAACACATCAACTGAACTGTGAGGGCTGAGAAATAAAACGGTGTTAGGACCTCACACTTTTACAATGAAGAAGCGTACTTCCTTCCTGGCTGAGAGCGTAAGTAGCGGTTTATGTGTGTTTCTACAAACACGTGAGAATTTCCTTCATTCATTGAGAGAGCGTTTCCTGTGTACGCTCAATGTCATGTAGTTAACATACAAAACTCACTACATAAAAAGAAAAACAGTGTCAAAGAAGGCCTTATATGTTGCAATAAACGCAATAAACTTAAAAGAACTGCCTCCCGGTACACCAGTTCACATCAGAGCTTAATCAACTATAAAATTATACAGATTAAGACATCAGTAACAGAGGGACCTTTTCTACAAACCACACAATAATAACACCATTACTACTGCAGCCAAACAAGTAAAGCCTGCCAAATTACAAGTTACGACCCAAGGCTTACAAGCACTCCACTTCTTCAGAAAACAGCAGGTGCAGAAATATGGCTGTCCAAACCAGTACAAGAAAGAGAACGAGAAGCAAAGGGGCTCTTCATACAGTACAACGGCTAAAAAAGACATGCAACGGGGAGAGAGAAGTGAGGTGTCTGTTACTGTGGAAACTGACCTTTTTATTGCTGAGTTTGTTGTCACATCCTTTAAACCCACCTGTAAAAGACAAGCCAAACACTCACACACAGAAGCCCAGGTCCTGAGTGATTCAGGAACAATAACAACACCAGCTTCCAAATAAAGCGCTCCAATCAGCTAAATCCAGGGTGGCAGAGAGAGAGAGAGAGAGAGAGAGAGACAACGGAGGATAACCTCTAGATGAGCTCCACTGTAGCTGACCCATCTGCAGCGAGACAATAGACCCCAGGGTGAACACTCCGGCTGCCTTTACCTTGTCTGTCCTCGGAGGAAGCCCCTCCGGTTTAGGCAGCATATCCCTAAAAGGTACTGGTGGCCATCTTGCTTTGCCTTCCTTCAGCCTCAAAAGAAAACACTGGCTACAGTAGCCGTGCGCAGGGCAAGCTCCTGGGTGTCATGACTAGGGCGACTGTGAGCCGCTGTAGCAAAGTGCTGCTACAGCAGACGCGCACACACTCGCCGCGCACACACAGACGTATAGGCACACACACACACACACACACACGGGATGCCTTTTGCAGACGCAGACAGAGCCTCATCAGCCAATGGCGTGAGGACCTTAGCGGCTTGTAAATTATCTTCCATGCCTAGACTCTCCTAAACAAAGGATCCCCTATGTGAGCCTTTTACTCCAGCCCTACACACATGGATTGGAGGTAAACTGTGGAACAGATACTGCACATGCTGGACCTGGGATCACAGAAAA